AATGGTAACGAATAAGCTTGTGTGGCGTTTTCAGGAGTGCATTGGTTCTCCTGGAGCCGTCAAGGCACGACTTTTAGGTGAAAATGGCCTTCCTGGGTGAGAGGAGTGGGCCAAATCCGACAAGAAAGCGAATTTGGGAGCGCCAGAGCGAAACTGCGGGCTTGCTTGAGTTGCGGGGATCCTCTGTCAAACTCGCCGTTCCCTGGCGAAGTCGTGACCACATGCCTGGATCGAATTCTTACTGTTCGGAAACATTTCTCTTGTAATCCTTGTTGCTGTGGCTCGCAACTCTCTTACCACTGTTGTGAACGGAGTGGCTGATTTTTCAATGGTACTGAACTTTGTTTTTCAGCCGAATCCAGAGACAACACGACCAGCTGCATCGCGAGTACAACGCAGCCGCCCGCGGCGCCATCTTTTGTCAGCTAGGAAAGGTTGGTGTAGTATAGGTGGCGCTGACATAAGCTGATATAGGTGGCAGTATGGGCATTCAAAGCGATCGGAAATGCCCGCCAACCGTTGGTGCAAGTTAGTTTAAGAGCGAACGCATTTAGTCCCCTTTTATGCGTGAGGTGTGGGGACAGGCGTGTTTGCATATGAGTCATAGCAGTCTCGGGTTCCCTAAATAACTTTTGTGCTCGTCAGATTTGGTTTCAACCAAATTTTCAAGTCGGTGTCATGGAGAATTTGACGTGTGCTCCACTTCCAAAGAAGCCCTGCTTACATCCCGCCACGCGCATCTGTGTCCACTGCCACTCGCTGTAAATATTGCTAGGTGCTGGAGTTTTTGGTTTCGCACCTGATATGCACTGCAACGAAGTATAAGGCTTTGTGAATCGAATGGTGTCATTCCGTGCTGGTCAGCCTGAAAATGGGTGCCAGCAGCATTCTTAATTAAATAGTTAAGAGTCGTCAGCGACATGCGTAAAACAACATGCAGATCATCGAATGTGTGACCTATAGGCCTCCAGCGTCTGTGATTTATTGCCGCGGCCGATATGTCGCCGGATACAACAAACGACTCCCTGAATGGAGCTCTGACTGACGGATTATGAAAGACTGATGAACCCCGGACCTCCAGTCTTGCCCACACCGTTCTGATTCCCATCACATACAGCTGGCATACAGTTCCGCAATAAGTGCCACGAAGGTGCAGTAATGCAGCTAGACTTGGAAGATCCCAATTTGCCGTACACTGTCCGCTCTATCGTGTCACAGGACAACTTTCTGAAATCCTTTCAGAAACACCACAACGCGATTTTGCTTCGAATTTCTCACGCGCTCAATTCGACATGCTTTTACGCGGACCTGGTTTGCGTGGCGGCGAGAGTTGGGCGGTGGCTTATGGCTTATAGATTTATTTTGTTCCTTGTTGTGGTAGTGGTATGCGGAATTGTAATACGTTCGTGACGACCGCGACGTCTGGCCACGTCGGTGACGTCTGGCCACGTCCGCGACGTCTGGCCACATCCGTGACGTCTGGCCGCGTCCGTGACGTCTGGCCACGTCCGCGACGTCTGGCCACATCCGTGACGTCTGACCACGTCCGTGACGTCTGGCCACGATCGCGACGTCTGGCCACGTCGGTAGCGTCTGGCCACGTCCGTGACGTCTGGCCATGACCACGACGGCGGCCAGACATCCGGTTATATTACCCACATGGAGATGTGCCTCGTTTTAAGCGAATTCGCCTTCGCACCAGTTTGCAATGGAGTCACTGATGTGTGCGATGTGTCCTTACGCAGGGTGATGGGTGATGGTTGATGACCTATGCAGGGTTGAGTGGTGTTAAGGAATTAACTTTGTTGTTGCCGCTTTTGCTGTTGAATTTTTGGAGGTCGCATGACACTAGTGAATCGCTTCACAGCTGTGCTTTACCCAAGGACACATGTACGCAAGGGCGGTTGTAGGTGATCAGGTCTTACAGACTGTCCCATGCCCGCAGGGAAACCGAAGTCAGCCAGCCATCGGCTTGAAGCACTCCCTCAAGAGTCGGGTATGTACTGAGCCGTACAGCTGAAACCAAAACACCCCGGCCAAACCCACCGTGGACAAACCCGCGATCATTGATGGACGTTTATTTACTGTTATCGGTTTTTGCTGATCGATGTTTACGGACAATTACCGTGCATTTATGCATTGCGCTCATCTTCAACGCTTTCCTCAGTGCTAGACCAGCAAAGTGAAGCTGTTCATGGCTATGGTCCAAAACCAGCCGACAATGCTCAATGACCCGACACATACACCAGGACGTGTATCTGGTTCCGTCTCGCACAGTACAACACGACGGCAGCTGGCTTTGCAAGCCCGCGTCGTGTCCTCCCTTGGCGGACTCTCCACAGCCCATATGCCCCCGTTTTCCCGTAATCAGCTGTACCAGCGGTGATGAAACGAGGCGCGTGACGTGACGGGGATGTCATCAGTGGAGACGTGGGTGTCATGAGGGAGCGCTGTGTAAGCCTGATAGAAACCGCGACCGGTCGCGTGTAGGGTGAGATGTCCCGTGCCGATCAGTCAACGACAGCTGCACGTGGTGAGGCGGCGCCTTGTTTGCCGCCTCAACCGCCAGCGCTTACGCAAACGCTTCAATCGACATCAGTGACGTCATCGCTAGCTCGGCTTGGTCGCGCGACTGCGCGACAGTCGCATGCTACCCGCGCACAGGGTACATCAGTGACGTCATCGCTGGCCCGTCTTCGACCGCGCGACTGCGCGACAGTCGCGCGTTACCCGCGCACAGGGGACATCAGTGACGTTATCTCTGGCCCGTCTTCGGCCGCGCGGCTGTGATTGATTTGGCCCCTTGTTCCCCGCGCACAGCGGACATTAGTGACGTCATCACTGGCCCGTCTTCCGCCGCGCGGCTGGGATTGATTTGGTCCCGTGTTCCCCGGGCAGTGGACATTGTGACGTCATCGCTGCCTCGGCTTCGGCCGGGCGGCTGCGCGTCAGTCGGGTGTTCCCCACGCACAGCGGACATCAATGACGATCCCGCCCGCGAAGCTGACCTCCGCTGACACCGCCGCGACCCGTGACCTTCAGCGCGCCCCTTGACCACGGCTCGCTTTCTTCGCGCCGACAAACAATAGAAGCGCCGCCCGGTTGGTGGGGACGCGCACGGTCGCAGTAGAATATGGTTCGGGCCTGAGGTCGCAACTTTTCTTTGGACGTTTTGATCAAGACTTGTGCATGTCTGGTCCTACTCAGTGGACCGGGCCGGGCTTATGACAGGGTGGATGTCCACCGGTCTCTGGACCGAAGCTCGAGTCTTCGTTACCTATAACACGATTCATAACGACCGTTGAAACGCGTGAACCTATATTTTGACACGATGTACGAAAGGCAGCATTGACAGCCTGTGTTGCATGTCAAGGCACCATTCCACAAGCCACTTACCAGGATTCTCATGCAAATCGCTGGTGTAAGACGTACCCAGAAGTAAATTGCATGTTGCCATTGTAAAACTGACCCGCATTGCTGGGCCTATGAACATTCTTTTCATTTATATGAAGCTCGTTGAAGCGTGATTTCGCCGGCCGTTTCCAGTTTTCCAGACCTGATCGCATGGTCGAGGACTAGCGGTATTTCAAATACGGTGAGGTCACATAACCGTCCACTTCGTGAAAATCAGCATGCTGTCAGCATTTTTCCCCGGTACACCCAGAAGTTGGAATAACTGGAATGGCAAATAATTAACTCCGGGCAGCTCAGCTAGATCGCGTTATGGGCCCTGTATGACTACGGCAGTCGGACCTGCAGCCCAAGTCAACATCATCATCATCATCATTATCATCCAGATGACTTTCGTAAATCCGTGCGCGATATTTAAGCTGAGGTCTATAGTCATTCAATTTTGCAAAGCCTGTCGAAAGCGCGCAAATCGCAACGAGTTGTCGACGATGTGTCTTTCATCGCCCGGCAAGGGTTGGCTTGGGCTGAGAAGCATCTGGCGCTGATGACGACTTGTCACATGCATTCTAGAATGGCTGCATCACTGTCGGCTCAGCATCGGGTCCGTTACGATGTGGCCTGCAGAAACCAACTTACTCGGACTCCAGCCTTCCGAGGCTCCGTCCTTCAGGTCGACCGCATACGGCAGCGGTCAGTGGTGGCTGTTGTTGGCATTGGTATTGACATCCAATCGGATCAATGAACTGATCGACTCGGCCGAAAAATAGCGGCAACACGGGGTGTTTTTCACTGCTCGGTATTGATCGCGACCGTGACACGCTGCCGCTATCAACTATCACCGCGTCGGAGACTTTCGCCGCGTGCATGCCTAAACGTCCGGCGTCACTCAACCACCTCAAACATCCGGGCACTTCACGATAGTGTCCGTAATCTTTCGCTGGCCGGGCCTCGTATCTCGCCCTCGACGAGCTTATGCTCATTGCTCACAACATTCAAACCGAGCATTCTCCCGCTCGAGGACCGACGCTGATAGCACGGCGCGGCCGCGGCCCGTGCGCTCCGCCGCCTCCGTGCAGGAATTTCACGCCACAGCCGCGCCCGCCGGCGGCGCCGCCGCCAGACGCACGGAATGCCGCGGCGGTGGGCGGGTGCTCGGGGCTTGCGCTGCCCGGTGACGTCACGTCTGCGCCGGCGTCTTCTGCCGCGGGTGGACGGCGACGCGGTGGGAACGCGGTGACATTCCGTGGCGCCGGCAGCCGCCGCCGCCGCCGCCGCCACGAGGCGCTTCGCACGGCGCCGCTGCTTCCGCGCGCGCGCACAGCAGGTGAGTTTGCCCGCGGGCGCTGCGGTTCGTCACGCGCGCGCGCGCAGCAGAGGGAGCAGGGGCGCATCGAGTGGCGCAGACAGGGGGTGGTGCTGACCGGCGTCGGTGAAGCAGCGCACCGTCACGGACACGTATCTGACAGCGAGCCTGGAAGTCACGGGGAACGGGCAGGTCCCCGTCGCTGCCCATGCGTGTCGTCTGTCCCAAGATCGGTCGCTGACGCCGCCTCTGCGCCTACTATTGGCCGGCGCGGCGGCGGCCACGGCGGGTCGCCAGTGGAGTGCGGTGTGGCGGGGTGGAGGCGCGGTGCTGCGAGGCGGGTACCGGCCCAGGTGCGGCGGAAGAGCGCGGAGGACTGAGCTGAGGGCGGCGGCACGAGCTGGAACTGGTTGTGACGCGCGTGGGCGGAGCATAGCTTAGTACACACGGCGGAGAGAGAAACCACCTCGGAGTGCGCGTCACCGTAAGAGTTTGTCGACGTGCAGTGAGTGCCGTTGCGAGGCGGTGAGTGCTAGGGAAAAGCGGTGAGCGCCAGTGGTGAGATGCTGTGACTGCTGGTGAGGAGCGCCGAGTGCTGGGTAGAAGCGGTGAGCGTGCGAAGCCCGAGTGTCCGCGGTGAGAAGCGGTGAGACGTGTCCTGCGCAAGTGAGAAGCGGTGAGCATCCACCGTCAGCCGATATCGACCGAGCTGCCCCAGCGAACGAAAGACGTCCACAGCCACTGCTGGAACTGGCGCTGGTCCTGAAGCCGAAGCTGGAGCTAGAGCTGGAGCTGGATCTGGATTTGGACGTGCAACAGCGACCGGGCCCTGCCAGCGCGACAGAAGGCCCGCCACAGCCAGGTGAGTCCTTGCTCTCTGACCTGGACACCAGGCCTCGGTCCCCGGTGCACCTTGAGCCACGAGGTCCTCGCTACAGACCCGGTAGCGCGTGTCTCGTGTTTCTGTGTCGTCCTGTGGTCTCGGTAGGTCGTGTTCTGTGCGGTCTCGGTCCGTGCGGTCGTCGGACCGCGGTCCGGACATCCGGTGTGTCGTAGCTCCGGATCTCTGGATTTGATCTCCGGATATTATGTCCGCTAACGCAGGCCCTTGTTTCGTGTGATTCGTACCTCGGTAGCTCACCACCTGTCTCTTGTGATCCGCCCTTCCGCCGCCCGGACACCCCGTGCTGCCTTTACCTACTCCATGCACCGTAACCCCTATATCCCGCGTTGTTTCCTGTGCTCCCGGTACCGTCGCACCAACAACCCATGTTTCCCTGTGTTCCCTGTACCGTCGCACCGACAGCTCGCGCTTCCGTGTGTTCCCTGTAGAGTCTCGCTGACAGCCCGTGCTTCCGTGTGTTCCCTGTATAGTCTCGCTGACAGCCCGTGTTTCCCTGTGTTCCCTGTACTGTCACACCGACAGCCCGTGTTCCCCATGCTCCCTGTACGGTCACACCGACAGCCCGTGGTCCCCATGCTCCCTGTACGGTCACACCGACAGCCCGTGTTCCCCATGCTCCCTGTACGGTCTCGCCGACAGCCCGTGTCGCCCCGTCTCGCTCTCCCGCCCCGCCTCCCCGCTTCCTCGTACGCCGCACGGCGGCCGCCGCGCACGTGTTTACCGTTAGAATCTCGTCGGTCAGACTGGCCGCTTTAATCAGGCCCGTGAAGCCGCCTGGGGGAGACCGCCGGCTGATAGTGCCGGTGCTGCGTCGGCCACAATACCGCGGCGCTGGCCGCGGGGCTGGCCTGGCGCACTGCTGTGGCGCAGTTTTCGGGACTGGCCTGGCGCACTGCTGTGGCGCTGGCCGCGGGCTGGCCTGGTGCACTGCTGTGGCGCTGTCCGCGGAGCTGGCCTGGCTCAGTGTCGTACGAACGCGGTTGCGTTCGACGCGGCAGACGCGGACCGGGTTGTTGCTGGTTGATGCTAGACTGGTGCTAGGTAGGGTTATTCTGTCCACCGTTGGCGCAGTCAAGGGAGGGGCCCTGCCTCGAGGCCCGCGTTTTTCTTCATCATAGACAGCTGTTGACAGCAAGTCGAACATCGACACAATTCGTCCTCAACGACGCCCGCCTCCTCTCCTAAGAAAATCCTGGCTGCGCCCCTGCTCCGTGCCCCGCCTGCTGGTATGATGCTGCTGAGGCTGCTGTTCTGGCGTGACGCAGGGAGAGAAGCTGGAGTGCTGTGCCATCTCAGAGCGTATGACGATGCTCTGAAACCATGGGACTACCCTTATAACACAAGTTTACCTGCCTGCGACGTTGAAAGTTTTGTTCGGGTGCATTGGGCCACTTAAAGCATCGGCCTTACGTGGGTGCACCGGATAAAATGGAATCAGAGTAACTCATCGCTCTGTGATTCTCCAAGTCCGTGTAATTTGTAACCCCACAAAGTGATACCAGCCATCAACGCATACTTTTGCAGCAGGGATTCGGCTCAAACGAGTTCTCCCTGGCGTTCCAATGGCTCATTGTTTACTCCTCCATGACACTGCAGCCCGAACCCGTTCTCCGCCGTGACGGCGTGGGTCAAAGCATGGCGCCCTGCTGAGACGGCCCGCTATGCTCCGATGTCAGGGGCGTCACCAGGGCCAGCGCCTGTGGGCCAGGGCCGATGTCAGGGGCGTCACCGGGGGTGTAGCCGTGGGCCGGGGTGTCAAATGACGCACCCGTTGTGAGGGCCCTTGGTCCCCAGTCGGCTGCGCTCCTGGCAGACCGGCAACGGGCGGCGAGCGCCTCCTGGCATCGAACAACGCGCTGAAGCGGCCATCTTCTGGAGGCCGGGGCGGCGGACAATCGCGCTATCCCGTCCCCTGGCGGAAGATGAATCGGCGGTTCGGCCGGCGCGGATGTCGGCCGGACGCTGAGACTGCTGTCGTTTTGGTGGGATATATATTGGTAATGACGGGGAAGACCTTGAGACGATAATGGCGATAATGCTGCGTGAGAATGTGCGACCAATAGGTGGACGATGGCTAGCACTATTGCTGGTAATGGTTATGTTAAGGATACAATATTACGAACCATCGTTGTCATAGCAGTAGTACTGTTGTCGTAATGATAATGTCGTTATTGTGCTGAAATATTGGTTACGCCAATAATCAACATTTGCAGTGCAAGGATAAGACAGCTGCGATGGGTAGTAGTCCAGTTAGTTTCGTATTCAGTTGGGGGAGGCTTTAGCCCCTCATCGTGGCCTCCAGCCCCTCGCCAGTAAAGTGGGTTAAACTTTAGAAGTTCATGTGTTGGCGACCTTCGGGTGTAGATTTAATAATTTTTCCTGGTTCAGCCCCCCCCCCCGCCATCCTCCCAACTCACCGCTAACCCCTACTCACCTCACCCCTGGCAGTGAGCATTATACGGATTGTGACGAATGCGACCGCGCGAACGAAGCAAAGCCGGGATCGCCGCCTCAACATTTGCCAATGACGCGGATCTTCTTACGCGGCTGGCAGCAGCATCTCAGACACCCGGCTGTCACGAGCGGCGGCGACCTGCGCGGCGCAGCGTAACCAGCCCCAGGCAACGCCTCCGAAACCCACGCTCCTCCACCAAGGCCTGCACTCTTCCACCAACCGCCGCTGTTGTAGCCCGACTCGCTCGACCGTAGACCACAGCTGGGCGGTCGGGCCAGGCCGCAGCGACCAAGCTCAGGTTGCCCTCCGGGCCGCAGTGACGGTGGTGGTGACGCAGTACCAGGCCTGGACCTGGTCGGGGTCTGCCTGCCGGGGCCAGTTCTGCAGAAGCGCGCTCGAGGGAGCGGCCAGCGACGGGAGATATCCGTCCCAGTACCCGGGCTGGACCTGGTCGGGATCTGCCTGCCTGGTTCAGTTCTGCGGTCGCCGCACTCGCGGGAGCGGCTGGCGACGGGAAACGTCCGTCAGGTGACGTCAGAAGGGCACGTGACGTTACACAGGCGGGTGACGTCACATACAGGTGCACGACGTCACACAGACAGACGGTGTCGTCCGATACGGATCATGGTCCGAGACATGCACGGATGGCGTTGCGGTGGTGCAGTGCGCAGGTGGACGGCTCACCGAACACGGTGCGGGGTCCGCCCGCTTCCGGCGTCACCGCCCCAGCAGTTGGTGGGCCTTCGTGCAGATTTGCGTTGGATTAGTCCCGGTCCTGCTGGGCTTGGCTTTAGCCATGTATGGTCAGTGCCTGTCCTTGTCGGGTCAGTTCCAGGCGGCCATGTTGCGTTAGCCCCTGTTCTTGTTGGGTTGGTCTCGGTTCTTTCTGGGGCTAGTCGTGGTCGGTGTTGTATTGGCCTTCGTCCGTGTCGAAGTGGCCCTGATCGGTGCTAGGCTGCCGTTAGTCAATGTTGGGTTAGCTGCGGTCGGTTTGTGGTCAGCTGGCGGGATGAGGTTCTGTGGAAGGAGTTTGTCAGTTGGTTCGTTCATTGTCGGTTGGTTGTTTGTTGGTGGGTTGTTTGCTAGTAGGCTGGTTGTTGGTAGGTTGGTTGGGTGTTCCAGGTATTTGACCGCTAGGTGTTGGCTCTCAGGCAACAGTTTTTGCACCTAGAGCCTCAGTTTAGAACTTCAGTTTAGTTTGGACCTAGACGGATCGAGCCGAGTTGACGTCGGGCCTCGAATTCGACGCACTTCAGATGTAACTGAATTCCACTCAGTCGAAATACTCACACCTGAGACGGTGAAATACCTTGACGAAATCATTGTGTTGACATTTGCTTCAAATACACACATACGGTGTTGGGACGTTTGATTAAAGGCGAACAACAGAACGACATACGACAATGTCGTATCTTCTGCCAAGCCAACACCTGCTCACCTCACCAAAACATGTGGGTGCCCTGGTGCTCATCGATAACCACCTGAATGCAGGTTAGCCTTGAATCGCGGCCGACCGATTTGTCTGTGATATGCAGGCACCGACGTGGTAGGTTGATTGAGTAGGACCTCTAAATACGCGGATGGCAGGTAGCTCGTTTTTGTGCTGTTTTATTCCGAAGGCAAACGAAATGATTCGGGTGTGAAGACGGCTGGACAAGCCAGTTCAAAGCAGGATGCGGAGCAAGCGTAACGTGTTGTACACACAGAACGCAGAGCGCAGAACGCAGAACGCGGAACGCAGAATGCATAACTTAGAACGCAGAACGCATAACGCAGAACGTAGAACGTAGAACGCAGAACGCAGAACGCAGAACGCAGAACGCAGAACGCTGGACGCTGAACCCACCACCGAGGTGGTGCTGGTTCAGTTGGAGGGCTAGTTTGTTTCTGGTCTTGATAAGCCGCACAGATCAGTGCAATTCAGAAGTTCGAGTGGCTACTAGCTTCTAACTAAGCTACATTCACTTACCGCTATCGTAAACACTCTGACGCCATCATCCTCCCCCACTATTTCCTGTTCGTCGTCATCTTCTCCATCTGCAGCCTTTCTGAGGTACCTCGAGCTCCCTCCGCCCTCCAGCCATGCTCTTGTGGCCCGTAGCCAAGTGGGCGAAACATAGTCTGATATCTTGCCACTGACTCGGGCGAAAACGGTAACCATGGAAACAAAAGCCTCCGACGTAGTCTACGTCACGGGAGATCCTCCGATTTCCGCGAACACCGAGCGGATGACGGCCCCCGCAGCACCTGCGCGAGGCCGCAGGACATGTCCTGTCACGGAGCATGCGGGCGTGGGATGCCACGACGTCCAGCTTTTTGACCGAAGTGTCCTCGAAGTTTCGACCGTCAGCGGCAGCAGGGGCATCGCCACGGGTGAGACCAGCGCTGGGTCTTCACACAACCATCTCCTGGGGCAGGGGAAGCTCGCTGCGAACCGTCATCTCCCATGGCTAGAGAACGGCGAGCTGAGATCGGGCAGGCAAGCTGCCAAGACGTGCCCCTT